CTTTGCCTTCTCAAAAAAAGAACACAGAGGAAACAGCATAAATTCTCTGCCCCAAGGGGAGGAGATGTATCATGAGAAAACAGTAATTTCAGACATGTAATCACAACACTCTCCAGAGAAATCTTGCAACAAAAGCAAGCCTTGTTGCTGTGCAGTATAAAAACATATGTCTATATCAGATGAGGTCATTTGCAGATATTCAATGATCCATCTAAATCTATTTCAGTCAGAAGTAACAAACTTTACAAAGCAACACATTATAGAACTGTCTTTCTAAAAAAGCATAATCAACTATCAGTCCCTTCTTAGAAATGTAATATATATTTCTCCTATATACATATTTTTTGGTATTCCTACTGCCATTTTGGCTCCATTTTTTCCTGTTACTTTATTTTTGTATTAGCATCACTGGTACTGTACAATTCTGGAACTAGAACATTTTTCCCTAGTTTGCTGATGCTCTGGAAGGAGGAACATTTTAGTATGTAACATTAGTTTTGTGCTAAACCCACAGATAAACAAAAGGAGTCCACTATTTGACAGAGAAATTGGATTTTTTAAAGGCCCATACAAGGTTAATAACCACCTTTAAGATCAAGGTATTTTAGACCTATTTTGCTGTTCGTTACTTTAAAATATCCCTTGAATGTCATGCACTGCAGTTTGACAAAGTGAGTGCCTAAGTAGCAGGATAACCTGATTCTTCTAAAGTTACTTAAGCAAATCTTCAGTAGCCTGAAATATTTCTGACTCCTGTGATGCAAGGCAATTTGGCTTACATTGTTCTCACTGCTGCCATGAATATTAAAGACAGGAATTATACTCTGGCATTCTGGAGAAGAGCTAAAATGTACAAGATCTCTCACTCCATACAACTGTCACACTTTTAAAATTTAGGTTAAATATATTGAAATTTATGGGAGGGAAACATACCCATTTCTTAAAACACTCCATGCAAAAACTGTACTTATCCAAAAAGTTTAACTGAAGTTAGGTCACGCTCACCATGCAAGCCAAATACACTAATCTCTTGCTTACAAAAAAACTTCATTTAGATGAATTCAAATTTGTGTCTTTCATTGAGTTAGACAAAGTATTGTCCTATACACAGCATGACATGATGCAAGTGTATGCCAGGTACACTCAGACTTGGTGTGTCTGAGCAAAGCCTTTATAGCAAAGTATAGGCTCTGCAGAAAAATACCATGTTACCTCCACGTTGCAGTCTTCTTCTCCCTCACAGAAAAACTTCCAAACAGAAGATGATTATAATTAAAATTATTAGTTGCATGCTCTAAATAGTTGAAAAAAATTCAGTACTTTTATTCCATCTTATGAATATGTTGCACTGAAAATAGGTTCAGTGATTAGCCAAGAAAGATGCAGGTGATATTTAAACTGTTAGACCCAAGAAATCACTGAACTATAGGCACCAAAAAGGTATGCAATGCTCTCTTCATTACTGCCAATATTATGGTCCAGCTTTTCAAACCTTACTTGTATGTATCATTCATTCACTCTAGTAGCCTCCCAAAGGGAGTGTTATTCTAATAGAAAGATAAGGGAGGGTTGCCTGATCAGGACTTTAAACAGAAATTAAATTGATTTTACTAAAGATGTCTAGTCCTCCCTAATTACTCATTTACTTACAACCTAAGGTACCTCTGACCCTTCAGTTAGAGCGCCAGCATTCCAGTGTGAGCAGAGAAGAACCCACATAACACCCCTACACATATAAGGTCTCTGAAACTTGTAATTAAGGCCTAATATTTTTAAAAATAAATAATCTGTAATGGTGGGGGAGGGAGAAGGAACAGGCTCTTACTTCAGACACTGAAGACCTGATTTTTAAAACTGCTGAAGAGCCACAGCTGGAATTGCAATCAATAGGGCCAACATGTGCCCAGCAGGGCTGAAAATCAGACCCAAGGTGTCTTAAGTAAGACACCCAAACTTGTGAAATTCTTGCCCCTCAGCCTTCAATGAATCCGCAGGGAAGCATTTTCAGTTTCTACACAGCAATGTTCTTTGGCTGTCTGAAGAGGGCACTCGGTGCCTAGGAGTCTAGTGTCCTTCCTCCAGATACCAGAAAATCTGCGAATTCTGCTAAATACCATCTGTGTTGCAAGGACCCAAAAAAGGAAGGAAGCGTCAGCTGAGAAAAGATGCCACCTCCAAAGGGATACAAAATGAACCAAGAAGAGCTGCTATGTATTTCCATAAGCAGAAAGGGAAATGACCCTGCAGACTTCATATACGCAGTTGGGGGCAGGGAGAAAGGAATTGGAGAGGAGGAAGAAAAAACCAAATGTATTCCAGATACTTTTTTTAACAAGACAAAAACGACACCACAACCAAATGGAGACCTGGCAGGAGACAAGAGAGGCAGCTTAGCTTGAGTGACTGACAGTACCTACAAGCCACATTTCAGTTTAATCTAGACAAATGCTTATGAGCAAGCTACCTGGGGAATAGCCAGTCTCCAGCCCTGAGGGACTGAGTTTGTTCTTACACAGGTGAGAACCTAGAGGAACTGCACTGAGTTTGGCAGGGCTATACTGAAGTCAGGGGGCTGGGAATCAGGATGTCAGCTCCCATGCACCTCCCATTGTAGCTCACAAGGCACAGGAAGAGACATTACCTAAGCAGAAAACTTCTCTACTGTTATGAGAAACTAATATACATTCTTGGCTTTTTCTTCCTGATATATTAATCACATGATTTATGTATATTCTGACCAAAGCAACAGGGTAATAAGCACTGGCAAAGTGTCCCTTATGTTAAGGCAAGGGACACTGCTTCCTTCTACTCCAAGTTTCTGAAACAAGTTTCTTACTTTGGCCAAAGACGTACTGCGCTCTACGTAGCCCATCTTTAAAAACCCAAGAAGATTAATTGGTTTCTCTCCACAACTCTACTATAGCATAAAATTTGGGTAACCTTTTCTCAAATGTCTCTGATCCACAGCTCTTTTAAAATGTGAAGAAATTAAAGCTATAGTTTTAAACAATATGCACTGAAACCATGCCTGATGCAATGTCAAGGGCTTTCAGAGAAGCTTCATGAGAAATTACTTCAACCCTATGATCTTACTTGCACCACGGGGAAGAGCCACAGACTTTACCACTCTATTGCAAAGGATATATATACACACACACACACACACACACACACACACATATATACATATATATACACACACACATATGTGGTCATTCTATGTCACCCCTGAAAAAACTCCCAGGCCCCCGCACCCGATGGAGGCCAATACAAAGCTCAGTGAGTTCAGGTCATTTTGATCCATGTAGAAAAGGGAAGTATTTCGCCCCGTCTGCAATGCTATCCACAGGGTACAGCAGAAATGAGGAGTTCATGCATGCAGAGCATGACAGAGTTGAGTCTCAGGAATCCAGGCCGTGGGCCAAATCCCTGGGACATTCTCTACCACCTTCTGCCTTTTTACTGACTGGGTACCACATTGCCACTCATGTCAGTTACTCCAAGGGAGCAAGGCACTGAGTAAGGAAGCCCAGGAGATGGGCTTTAAACTATCCTTTATGCCTCACTTCCTTTCCAGCCTCTCCCCCTTCCAGCCAAGAAGAGGTCTGACTCTCCCCCTAACATGCATGGTAACAGATAAAAAACGTGCTGATGCCCCACTCATGCATGCACTCACATATATTCACACATGCATCTACATGCACTAGCACATACATGCTAAAACTGACACATTAAACCAGGTACATATTCTCACAGACCAAGACACACATGCACAACACTGACATACTTACAGTCACAGACTAACACACACTACACATGTCTGCATGCACTAGCACTAACACACACTTGCACATAAACATACCCTAAGCATATCTACAGGTACAAACACCGACACTCACACACAACCACACACTGAACATGCCCACACATGCTAACACTGACACCCCCCCCCACACTCACACCCAGACATGCATGCACACAATAATACACATTCACAGACTAACATGCACTAACCATACCCGCAGGCACTAACACTGACACACACACATTCACATGCAGAATAACACATGCTAATCATGCCCATCAGCACTAACACTGACATGCATTCACAAACACACATGGTGACACTCACGCACACACTTGCACTCACACTGGGAGATGTACTCACAAACACACATGGTAATATACCCACACTCACATGCACACACAATGACACACACTAATACACACTCACAAACAGACACACAGTCACCCACATAGACGCACTCAGCAACACACTGGCACTCACAGACACTGACATGCACTCACAAACACAGTGAAATATCCACACTCAGAAACACATACACTGACAAGCAGTTACAAACACACATGTGGTGCCATACCCACTCTCACACTCATGCACACACACTGACACATGCTCACAAACACTGTGACACACTCACCCACACCAACACACCCACACATTTGCAGCAACATGCACTTACAAACACAGTGACACACTCACCCACACTGACTGACACTGACACAGGCTCACACAGTGACACACACACTGAAAGGCACTCACAATCACACATGGTAACACATCCATGCTCTCACGCACACACCCACACTGACACACACAGACACTGACACACACACACACAAGCGCACACACGGTGACACACTCCCCCCCACAGACAGTGACAAGCAGACATTCACAGACACCGACACTGACACACACACCCACAAGCACCGTGACACATTCACGCCCACTCGGACAGACACACACTGATACGCAGTCACAAACACCCACCCACACGGTAACACACCCACAGTCTCACGGACACACTCGCACTCACACCGGACACGCAGTCACAAACACCGTGACACACACGGACACCGACACGCACTCCCAAACACACAGCCGGTGAGCGGTCGCACTCACTCGCTCTCCGGCACACGCACTCCCGCACGCGCGCACACGCACACGCGCGGGCCGGGCCGGGCCGGGCCGGGCGGACCTTGCAGCAGCGGCGCCCGCTGGAGCTCGGGCCGGTCCTCGGGGAAGGAGTCGAGCAGGCGGCGGAGCAGGCGGCGCAGGTCGGCGAGGCTGCGGTGCAGGTAGAGCACGCTGCGGTCCGACCACTCCGTGCGGATCTCGTAGAAGTCCTCCTCGGCGCCGCGCCGGTCGATGATGAGGCGCCGCACGCCGTTCACCCAGCAGCCCCGCA